AACAATTAATTTGTTTAATGTATTGTATGTTCCAAAGGTTCGAAAGAACCTTGTATCTAGTGGTTTGTTGAATTTTATGGGCTATAAACAAGTGATCAATTCAAACAAGTATGTGTTGTCTAAATGTAGAATAATTGTAGGATTTGGTTATTATTGTGAACATGTTTTTAAGTTAAATGTTATAAGTTGTTTTGCATCACATGTTAAATCTACTTGAATGAATTTTGCATCTAATCTTGATAATTCTATGTTATGGCATAATAGATTAGGACATGTTAAGATTAAAAGAATGGTTGAAATGTTAAAATCCTGATTGATTCCAACTTTTGACATTAATTATGAAAAATGCAAAACTTGTATGTTACCTTAAATCACGAAACAACTGTTTCCAAATGTTAATAGAAAATCAGAAGTGTTGGAATTGATTCATCATGATCTATGTGATTTCCATGCTACACATTCCTTGGGAAATAAAGAGTACATTGTTACTTTTATTGATGACCCAAGTCGGTTTTGTTATGTATACTTGTTACATTCCAAAAATGAAGCTTTGGAAAACTTTAAAGTATATGAAACAGAAGTCGAATTATAGTTGGGTATTTCTATAAAATGTATTGGGACAGATAGGGAAGGAGAGTACATGGATTATGAATACTTTCAATCAGTTGGAATTATTCATGAAACCATAGCTCCTTACAATCCACAACAAAATGGTGTTGCTGAACGGAAAAATCAAGTTTTAATAGAAATGGTAAACTCGATACTTTCTTTTTCGGGTTGAACTGAAGGCTTTTGGGGTGAGGCTATGCTCACAGCCAATTATGTGCTAAACCGGGTTCCTAATAAACGGAACAAAGTTACTCCTTATGAACTTTAGCACAAGAAAGCACCAAGTTTGAATTATTTTCGAATTTAGGGATGTCAAGCAGTTGTGAAATTATCCGAACCTAAAAAGAAAATTTTGTGTGAAAGAGGAATTGACTGCATATTTATTGGATATGCAGAACATTCCAAAGCTTATAGATTTTATGTTATAGAACCTAATGAGGCATATACCATTCATACCATTATAGAATCGCGAGATGCTATTTTTAATGAGCTACGGTATTTTTTTAATTCAAAGACCAAAGGATCTGATTCCAAGCACAAGTGAGGTGCCTAAATCAGATGTTAAGGAAGTTGTTTCAATTCCAGAAACACAACAACTTCGTAAAAGCAAACGAGGTCGAGTCGCGAAAAATTTTGGCGAGGATTTTCAACTATTTCCGGTTGAAGGTTCTAAGGATAAAGTGGAGAAACAATACTCATATTCCTCTCATATTGAGACCGATCCAAAGATTTTAAGGAAGCTATGGAGTCTCGAGATGTTGCGTTTTGGAAAGAAGCGGTTGATGAAGAGATATCATCCATTATAAAGAATAATGTTTGGGTGTTATCTGATTTACCTCCTGGTTCTAAGCCGTTGGGATGTAAATGGATTTTCAAGAAGAAAATGAAGGTAGATGGAATCATTGATAAATTCAACGCTCGTCTGGTCATACAAGGTTTTAGACAAAAAGCCGATATCGATTATTTTGATACATATGCACTGATAGCACGAATTTCTACCATTAGATTGTTGCTTGCTTTGGCAGCTATTCACAATCTAGTTATTCATCAAATGGATGTAAAAATAACTTTTTTGAATGGTGATCTTGACGAGGAAGTTTATATGAAACAACCAGAAGGTTTTGTTTTGTCTGGAAATGAGTAAAAATGTGTAGACTTGTAAAATCATTGTATGGACTTAAACAAGCTACAAAACAATGGCATTTGAAATTTGATGAACTTATTTTGTCTAATGGTTTTTCTTTAAACCAATCTGACAAATGTGTTTACATCCGTTTTCATTCATCTGGATCTGGTGTGATCATTTGCTTGTATGTAGATGATATGTTGATTGTTGGCACTGATCAAAATCAAATTAATGCAACAAAGAATTTATTATCTTCAAAGTTTTCCATGAAGGATATGGGGGAGGCGGATGTAATCCTTGGAATAAGGATTAAACGGGTGAACAAGGGACTTGCTATTACACAATCACATTAGATTGAGAAAATTCTCAAACGGTTCAATTACAGTGATTGTACACCCGCTAACACCCCTTTGGATTCTAGCATGAATTTGATGCCTAATAGAGGCATATCAGTTTCTCAACTTGAGTACTCGCAAGCTATTGGTTCTTTGATGTATGTTATGACTAGCACTCGTCCCGATATAGCTTTCGCAGTGGGTAGATTGAGTAGATTTACTCATAATCCTAGTACTCAACATTGGCAAGCGGTTCATCGTGTTTTCAAGTATTTGAAAGGAACCAAGGATTATTGTTTGTGTTATTCATGATTTGTTTCGGTTTTGGAAGGATATTCTGATGCAAGTTGGACATCCAATAGAGAATGTCATTCTTCTACAACTGGTTGGGTATTCTTGCTTGGTGGAGGTGCTATCTCATGGGCATCTAAGAAGCAATCTTGTATAACAAGTTTAACAATGGAATCTGAGTTTATTGCATTGGTTGCTGCAAGTAAGGAAGCAGAATGGTTAAATAATTTGATTTATGAGATTCCATTGTGGAGGAAACCGATTTCACCATTATCTATTCGCTGTGATAGTGTTTCTACTTTGAGTAAAGCTTATAGTCAAGTTTATAATGGTAAATCGAGACACATTGATGTTAGACATAGGATGATTAAAAATCTAATCATGGATGTGTGATTTCGATTGAGTTTGTAAAATCACAACAAAATTTAGCGGATCATCTCACTAAGAGTTTGGCGCGAGACTTAGTGCACAAGTATGTTATAGGGATGGGCTTAAAGTCCTTATAAGTTCTTATGAATGAGACACCCGATTCCCCTCTAATGCAATGTTAGAGGTTGAATTCAATGAGGAAAGCTTATTTATATGAATTGGAGCACGCATTATAACTATCCCAAGGTACGTGTGTTTGAACCTGTAGAGACCAGGATGAATTTGATTTCTTAATGATTCTTTTGATAAAATGTATACAAGTACATGAATTAAAGAATCACCTATATGATCGTGAAGTGTAGCTGCACTTCAAGAGTTTGGGACTTGGCTTTTATACG